GCATTATAAAATCTCAATTATGATTTATATTTGCCATAATTATTTTTCTCTAGATGTTAATTCAGTTATTTTACATAAAATTAAATTGGAATAGATAAAACAAGAAATCTGTCTAAAAGAATCTAGGATAAGGACATWTAGATGCGTTTTTCTCCTCAGCACTCCAGCATCCCTCCTCCTTAGTAGGAACGATGCAACGACTACATAAATCAAACACAGAGCTCTCACTGTTCTTCTGTTATCGTTGTTGCACATCTTTGTCTCTTGTTTTGATTTTGTTTTACTTGGCATCCCCTCTCACCTCTTCTGGCCTCTGAAAGCTTTGTTCCCATTCCTTCCTTCTCTCTTCTAGTACATCCATCTTCAGCTCCTCAACAAGCTCCTGTTGCTCATCGTCCAGCCATGCGGCCTCGTCCTCCTCCAGCAGCTGTAATCAAAAGATCTTGTCAGAGACCTGTCTGTCACATTTTGCACTTTTGTGCATGTATGTGTGCGTACTCAAGTGCTCTATACAATCTCTTGGACAGGGAAGAAAAGAAAACGGCTCTTAGTAAGCATTTCTTTTTATTGGACATGACACGGGTTGTCAAGAAAGAGCTGCAGGGCGATGTAGGTGTGCGCGCGCGAGTGTTTACCTGGATTTCTGGCCTTGTCACCAGCAGTGTGATGCTCCTTGCGTCTTCACTTGACAACAAGGCAACAGCTTTCTCTCGGTCTTGCACTTCACAGCCATTTATCTGTACATCAGTGATAACAGTACATAGACAAAGGATTGGTACAAGGCCACTTATTGATCTTATTTTTCCTTTTTTGGTGTCCCTTTTTTCTCATTTTTCCCCCTGACCTCTCCACGTTCTACTCCATGAAAATACACTTCATGAAAGGGGGAGTCAATTGAGAAAGTCGGCGCTCGCCACACCGTCCAGACATACAATTAACTGTTCTCTGACMGGTGGCGTTCATCTTTTCTTTGCTAGAGTAATGGGGCTGTCAGGGGAAGATAATAGGGCCAGAAGTACAGCGGGCCTTGCTCCCCCACAATCGTTCATAGTAGCAGGAAACAAACAACGCGCTGAGGAAGGAARTAGTCAAATTGCAATTTACAACGAATAAAGAAGAGGAGCGTTGATGCAGTGTTGGCCAAATGTGAAAGCTAATTGAAATTAAAGGCCTGGCACTCTTTGAAGGAATGCATATWGACTGCTTCCTTTAGTTAAGATCATCTTATGAGGAGGAATGGCCTTGGTCAAACCTTGAAAATCACATGAGTGACTCGTCACAGATGATCCAACTTATGCACAAATATGTTGAACAATAAATTACACTTTTTCACTGAACAGCCATAATATTAAGTAAAGTAATCACCTTAAATTTATAGAACACCTCGTGCCCCAATTTTGCTTTAACCTGACAATTTCATATCAACCCTTAAGTTCTATGAATCCTTCAAAGTAACATGCATTCTCATTTTTAATTGGTCTCGTCACTGCAGTTCACCCTGTAGGCCTCACAGCTCTCTATATGTCATCTGACAAGAACCGATAAACTRTTCAGTGGAAACCAGGTCTGTGAATCACGAGGCCATTTTACAGAATGTGAGACTTAAATAGACCTTCAGCCCTGCAGAGGCAGCCAATCAGAAAGAAGGCTGTAACAAGCTTGAGGTTTCTTTTATGAACCTGTTTGTCAAGAGGTCAGGCATAAGAGAGAACCCAAATAAAATGTCAATTATTAATTATTTTCCCCCTTACGCATACAGATATTATCCAACATTATTA